TTCACCACGGCCACAACCGACATTGGGAAGATGTCCAAGGTTTGATAGGTATTGCCAAAGTAAGTCTGGGCGGAAGTTTTGTTGCTGCGTGCCAAATAGCACTGGAAAATGTGGATCCACCCGGACGTGCTGCTGTGATTCTTGTAGCCCACGGAAGAATTGTGCCCAGTGTTGGGCTTAGAGGATGTAATCAGAAAATATTATGAACTTAATATGAATTTATTATAAAATAAATATAAATAATAATTCCAAAAATAGACTGAAAGAAGAAAAAAATATAATATTTTTTGGACAACTTTAGTAATGGCAAAAACTAGCTAAAAATAGATGATTTTGTTTGCTTAAAAAGACTAGATGTTCTAAGATATTCTACTTAATGGTTGTTATTCATTTGGATTAATTTTATTTTTTTAATTTATAAACTTTTTGGTTTGCTTAAGCAAACCTGTAAAGGGATGGTAGTGGAAGGATATTCTATCATCTAAGGGTTGTTATTCATTTAGATTAATCGCTTCCCGGCAATCCGTCCACTCCACTCTTGGATTTCGTCTTGGCCACCACAGCACAAGGAAGAAAAGCTTCCTATATTTATAATTTATAAACATTCCTAAACACTTCCTAGTATATTCTAGTTTATTTTACCATCTAATGGTTGGTATTCAGTAAGATTAATCTTGTGTTTATAAATTATAAACATGTATATAGCTATAAACTTCCATTTGATCAATTAGATTAATAAATATAAATAACAGATAAATATACCATGATATATATATATTTTTGTTATCACTTCCAGGATTTTCCATTTAAAGAAGTAAGTGAAGTGGCAAAATTTGCAATATTACCATTTCTTTTGATGCAATAAATGGTCATTAGTGCCAGTTTACTAATTTTTGTTTTGGTGGGAGGATATTCTAGGTGAATATCCTCCTCTCACTTTGCTTTGTTTGCTTCATTGAACAAAAAGGACTACCCTAGTTGTCCTTTATATATGGTTCCGTACCTCCTAGGAAAAACAAATCCCTTATGAAAAAGTTGCTGGAAAGAAGAAACTGCCAAGAAACTCTAGAAAGACATCTCAACCAAAAAATGGTTGACAAACAATGTTCTGAGACAGATTTCAAGACCAAACTCCAGGCAAAGATGAGTAGGAAACAAATTCATATTTCCATCAATCGCTTGGATCACTTGCGTCTTGGCAGATTGCCTGTCCCGGTAGTACACAACACAAGGATCTTGCTTGTGCACAACAATCCCCAAAGCAACCTTTGCCCTGCCTCACTTGCTAACCAGCACCTCCATATCATTGAAAACACAAAAAGATGGAAAAGTCTCGAAATATCTAGACAGAAGTAATGGCCTGTCTGGACTGAATAAGGCATCCAACTGACCAACCCGTACTTTGTACCTCCCTGTGCTTTCAATGTAGTTAAAACAAGTATCAAAGATACATAAAAGCAAGAACCATATGAGGCAGGCTGAAACAACATAATGCAATTGAAGAATGCATAGCAATTTGATCAAAGAAATTCTGTCTCATGACACTGAATGAATAACCCTGCTTAAAGGAAAGAAACTTATCTCGTAAGAGAATCATAGTGTGGACATTCCTGTAATCCACCACATGAATAACATTTCCCAGGATAGTTGCGAAATGCTGTGCTCCCAACACAATATTGGACCTCTTCATTGCTAAACTGCAAAGTTGAAAAACACATCATGCATAAGTGTTAAAGATTGGACAAAAAAAGAAACACCAAATACCAAATGTAGGGAAACAAGAAGGAACCAATTTAGAGAAAATACCTCTTGACATGATTACCACTGATCAGATTTGGCAGTTTTGAACCTGTAAGCTCTGCAAGCCAGTAGGAGTTTGTCCATGCACTCTTAAAGACTTGATACAGGGAGGTTGAAACTTCACTCTATGGTGCAAAGCATGAAGGCACCAAACAACACACATGGGGGGGGAGTTTTCACCTCATTGCTGTGCATGCATAAGAGCAGTGTGATATTGTTGAATCTGAATACAAACAGCTGCAATATCTAGATCCTCATCCAACTGATCTGTGGAATTGGTGTGAAGATCCTGTGATGTCCTAATAATTGTAGTGGGATCTGCTTCCTAGAAGGAGATCTGGTAGGAGGTAAACAATGTTGTATGGGGAGAATTGCTTCCAAACTATACACCAATTGGAATGGAGGGAGCTTCCCTATTGTCTTATATATCCATATGGTAATAGGGTTGGCTAGGCATGGGAATTATCTTGAATAACCTTCTAGAAGATTGTCTTGCGTGACTTTTCGTAACCTCAACCTGGCCATTCCTTTGAGGCTAGTAAGAACTCAACTTAAGATGAGAAATCCCAAGTGTTGTTGTGAGGTTAGTAACAACAATGCCTAAAAAGAAAAAACAAACTCATCAAAGTGTTGTATGCTAAAGAATCCCCCAAAATCACGATTAGAATGATAGAGAGTTCATCAGGTCTAATATCAAGTCTGAGACTGAGTCTAAAGTCCGAGATTGAGTCTGAGACCGAGTCTAAAGTCTGAGATCAAGTCTGAGATTGAGTCTAAAATCCAAGATCAGATCTAAAACTGAGTCTGAATACTAATATAGGTTATGGGGTGAAAGCCCAAAACAATAATCTCCTAGGGGCAGGAGTTTCCAAAATATAATATAGATGGTGAGACTAAGGATTTAGTCTTGAAGAAACTCTCCTTCATCTAAACCGAGTTAGGGTTAAAATTAAGGGTTAATAGCCTTGGGTGGGAGTGAATATAGACTTGAGGAATGCCAAAAAAGCTCCTCAAAGAAATGCTCAAAAGCAACTCCCACTCCTAAAAGGGAAATTGATTGTGGTGCTTCTGGCTTATGTGGAGTGGCATTTTACTTAAGTACTATAAAATTCATTGGTCCTCTCCCATTTATAGGGGCTTGGGCCTTCCCTTTGGGATGGAGGTGGGGAGTTGAGGTACTTATACTAGGCAATTAACCACGGTGTTTCCCTATGGGGTTTTAAACTAAAAGATGCATTTAAGACTTTAGATTTAAATGCAATAAGTATCTAAACCTAAGTAGGACTAATGTAGGATAGGCATGAACTTTGGCAAGAGAACCTAATTAAAGCCAAGGTAAAAGTGGTTAAATAGATGAGGTTAGTTGGCAAATTAGAAAAGAATTTTTTTTTTCCTTACAAATACTGTGGAAAAATGGTGGCAATACTTGCTACTTTTGCAATTTATGCTCCAGAGATTATTATTTATTCTTATTGGAGATACTCAAGTCCAAGACTGAGTCCGAATACTAATACAGGTTATGAGGTGAAAGCCTAAAGTGATTGCCTCCCAAAGGGGAGGGATGAATAGTGAGGTTAAGGACTCAATTTTAAAGGTAAAATAGGGAGGGGGATTGGTAAAAAGTTTGGGAATCTTGGTTAACATTTTATAATAATTAGTTAAACCTAAATAGGATTAAGCCAGAGTTTATATAATAAGTGTGAATCTTAGCAAAGGAACTTAATTAAAGTTGAGGCAAAAGTGGTTAGATAGACAAAGAAAAGGAAAAGTTTTGCATACTATGGAAAAATAGTGACATTATTTACTATCTTCACAATTTGTGCTCTAGAGAGATCACTACAACATCAAGTTCTTGCTAGAGCAACCACAGCTGAATAAAAGACAAAAAAGATGGATAGAGAAACTTCAAGTGCTCTAGGGAAGAAGAATACTTTGTTGGATGCATTATCTAGAATGTTTGAGAAGCCAGCATCACAAGTCTTAATAGGAGTATCCAGACGGACACCAAACTTCCTGGCTAGAGTGGCAGAGGGGTACATAAACAATGTGGTGCTCAGGCCAATCTTCACTCCACTCTCACAATCTGCTGATCAGTCACATCCTGAATTGATATTTAAGAATGGCCTTCTCTGGAGGAAAGGGAAACTAGTGATAAGCAGAAAGGCAAATCTTAGGTAGGAGGTCTTTGCACAGTGTCACTCAGGTCTGCTAGCAGGCCATCCAGGCATGGCAGGAACTCTTACAGCCATCAAGTCTCGCTTTTACTAGAAGGAAATGTAGTGGGAGGTCAAAAGTTGGATGAGGGAGTGTTTGGCATGCTAGCAAATCAAGACTGAGACAGTCCCTTTTCTAAGGTTGCTGAAGCCGTTGCTAGTAGCTCAAGCATTTTTTGCATCAGTATCGATGGATTTCATCTCAGGCTTGCCTAAGGTGGCTGCTTTGGATGCTGTCATGGTGGTAGTAGACTGCTTGACAAAGATTAGCCACTTTATTTCTTTGGCAACCACAGCAGATGCAAAGGTGGTTGAGCTATTCTAACTGGGAATTGTCTAGTACCATGGGATCCCCGGAGAGATTGTATCAGACAAGGACTTGAGGTTCTTGAGTCACTTCTGGAGATCCTTGTGCCAGTCTCTGCGAATGAAACTAAGCTATAACTCCACATATCATTCCCAAACAGATGGACAGACTGAAAGGACAAACCAGACTATGGCAGTGGACAAAGTGTGTTTCATAATTCACCATCATTTGATTTAATTGAATTATGAATTGGTTTGGTTGTGGCAATCATCAATGAGATCTTCAATGCTTGGGATAGGGAACTTGCTTTAACTGTGAGCTTGTTTTACTCTCTATAATCCACGTGATAATCAGGGCAGGGGCTTGAGCTTTCTTCTATCATGTCATCATCTATCAGCTCGTCAATCATTTTGTCAACCATCTCTCTTTCCTGCCTGCTGAGGCACACGAACGGACTACAAGTTGGCCAAGTTCTTTCTTGAAGGCTTATGTGGTGTTGAACGCCTGTTTGCTCGATGGCCTCCTGAGAACAAACCTACCTTTGGGAACTTTTCAGCCAGTTGACAAACTGCTTCTGGAATATCTGCTGCTTTGATGTCCCATAATGCTTCTGAAATCGGCCCAAGCTCCTCAGTTTCCTGGGATTTTTCACTGCCCCCAGCTAATATCCTCCGAAAGAGCTGCCCTGCTCTCATTGCTAATCCTGAGAAGCTCAACAACTTTGAATCCCTCAGCTCAATTCTGCTTTCCTGCAGTGAAGCTTCTTTTCCTTCATCGGGTTGAGGCTTGTGGTCACTGCTTTCTTCATGCAGGGCTCCTTTTCCCCCGCTGCCTGAGTTTCCCTTGCAAGCTGGTTGCAACCTGCTTTCTTCACACAAGACTTCTTTTCTCTCGTGTGCAACTGCCATAGTATCATCCTCTTCTAAAGACACTGAAATGCACTCTCCACTTGGTGAAAGTTGCCCATACGTATGTCATAATACTAGGATTGCGCACTGTTGGAGATAAGATGTTTATACTGGGCTAGCAAAGCGGTCAAAACTGGTCAGCAAGGTCTAGCTCCAACCCAACGATGTGTGGCCATCCTTCTCAAAGGTTAAGTGCTTTTCTTAGAAGTTGACTATGATGTCTCCTAGCTGCTGCAGAGTCTCCACTCCCAGTATGACATCAACTGCCCCCATGTCCAGCATCCAAAAGGATCCTGTGACCACATATCCTCCTGATGTGGATGAGCAAGTAGTCTTTTGGCTAGCCTTGATCACTCCCCCATCAGTGATCTTCACCTCCAGAGGATGAGCTACATCGACTAGCAAAAGCTTCAAATTTCCCAAAGACTTCCTGTTGATGAATGTGTGTGATGCACCTGAATCAATCAATGCAAAAGCCACACGTTGCCCCACATTACCTTGGACACAGAAACATTCTGGCCCAGCCTTGCCCATAAAAGCTGGTAGTGAGACTGTTCCTCAAAGAGAAGCTGAGGCAAATTGAAAGGACCTATAAGAGTGGGCTCCTTATCCACTAGTGTGTCGCTCACTGGGGCGTGAACCTCCATGATGAACACCTCACGATCATTGTCGATTTCATCCAGTTCACATGGTAGCAGATCACCCTGCTCGTTGGCTTGAAGTTGTATGCTAGAGACCCTGGCTCTTGGGTGTGGCACCTCCTGAGCCTTGCACACTGTGACTTCGATTCCATTTCTCGCCACAGTCAAAACACTTGCCTTTACGCAAGTCTTTGAGCCTCTTATCACGATTTACTGACGCTGGGACTCCAGTGGAGGTCGTGAAAACTGCTGTGACTGGTGTGGTGCAAAAGGTTATGGTCGATTGTTTATAGCCTCTCTATGTCCATCATATCTACTAGCCAACTTCTCTTCCAAATCCCTCAACTTCATGTCTACATGCAATGCATACGTCATTGCTTGATGAACTGTTAGCGGGTTTTGAGCAATATCAACAGCCATGGACGTTGGGAGAGATGCTATACACCTCTGCATCAAGGCCTCCTCCAGGATATTGTTGACAGCATAACGAGCTTGCAGCCATTGTTCGTTGAACTCTTTCAAGGTGGTAGATAAACAATCCCGCATAGCTTATTGAACGGGTAACTCCTCCATAGCCACGTTGATGACTCCTAACGAATTAGCTTCTTGAATGTTTCCCAGTTTGGAAGAGTGTGTGCTCTTTCTAGGCTGAAGAACCACCCTGAAGCCAATCCTTTGAGGTGTAAAGTAGCAAACGGCACTTTATAATCCTCTGAATGTCCTTCGTAATTGAACCATCATTCAATGCAATGCAACCAATCCTGCAGCTTGATGATATCATTCTCCCCCCCATACTCAAGAACGTTGAGCTTATCTTTTTCCTGCCATAAGTTGGACACTATTGGGTAACAAGCTGGAAAAGTTGGACTGACGATGGTGGCACCATGGGCTGGAAAGGTGGCACAACAACAGGCTGCTGCCACAGAGTGCCCGTCGATGCCGATGCTGCCTCGCCACTCCCCTGTGGTGAATTTGTTGTTCTAGGGAACATCGGGTTGGCTGGAGCGAGCTCAGGAGCTCTCATACACTTAGAAGTGATTTAAAATTGGAGTGACTTCACATTGCCTTTAGACGTGTCAAACTTATGAATCAAGCAAGTACATTGGCAAGTTTGTTCTTCAGATTCTTGCAGAAAATTTTGAATAATACTCTAGCTTCTAGTGGCTTTTTTGAATTGTAGTCTATCCACGAGGGAGTCTCAGTTGGTATGCCTGACTTTTAATTTCATTCAAGAACTTGTGTATACTTTTGAGTATAAATCTAAGGACACTTTATCATCCAAGGCTGTTCCATAGTGGTGGTGTCGGTGGTTCTATTGGGTAAGTGTATAATTCAGTGTGGAAGATTGCCCTATGGGTGCGATGCAAGCTGAAGCCGCAGGACAGAGAGCGCTCGGTGAGCAACCAATTTCCTGAAACTTTCCTTAATGATTTTTCTTTCTTAGTTTGCCCTGCTGTGTACCAATGCCAGCAGAGGCGCTCTGTTTAAAGATACATGCTATAACGCTTGCACTCTCCATGGGGTTGTTTATATCTGAGAATGTCCAGGTTATGGTAACTCACTATTGAAGTACTTGAGAGTTAAGTCTTGTCGATATCATACGAATATGAAGCTTTTTCTGTATGTCTCACTTTGAAAAGGTAGCAAAAGAAAATTTCAAGTTCGATATAGTGTAGGACTTTCTTTGCATGAGTACCTTGAGATTGCGTGATTCTATGTATAGCTTTATAAGATAATCTTTGTGTACAAGTCTCAGTTGGGAGGCTTGACTTTTCTGGTTGCAGCGTTCATGAAATCAGAGCGTTTGTGTTACATTCTGTGCTTGGAGCGAAAGGCTTGGTTGGAAATGGGAATGAAATCAAATATCATGGCAATTGCTGCGGTGCTGGTTGTTCTCTTGGGTATAATCTCGGCTTGAGTGAAGGATTTTTGTCATTCTTGTTAATATAACAGGGGTTGTGATGCAAGCTGAAGCTGCAGGACAGCAGGCGCTCCTCCAGCGAGGTGATACATCAGACAATTCGATATAACTTTGGAGATCTCTTCTAGTTTGCCCGGCAGTGTGCCAGTACACTAGAGTGGTTTGCAGAGTGAATAGGAATGCATGCTTTAACTCTTGCAATCTCCCGCGAGGATGCCGGCCAGTGTAACTTCTAATAAAACGTTATTATTATTGTTTATTATGACATAAGGAATCACAACTAGCTTACAAACGACGAAGGATAAGTTGAAGCACGAGGGGGGAAATCCGGAAATGCTGGCCTCGATCTCCACTCTGGTTCCCGAGCAAGCGAGAGACTATCTACTCTAGCAGTCACATGCCGCACACACCACAATTTGGCAAAGCTCAAACCTTTTTTGCTCAAAACCGCTTGTTCCAGGTAAGAGCTTTCGAGAAATTTTCCAAGAAAAGCTGCAGGATAGAACCGGCCAATTTGCTGATGTTTCGATTAAAACTCGTGATTTTATTTTTTAGTCCTTGCTGCGGTGTGCCATACTCTGGCGTCGTTTCCAGAGGCGTTCTGTTTGATACAACGCTTGCAATCTCCCACGAGGATGCCGACCAGTTTGACATCCAGAACAAAATTGCTGAATAAAGCATTGGTGCAAGTGAGTTTGTGAAACCTCCTAAAGAAGTCAAAGATCAAAAGACAAGGTGGATGCTGCTTGATTTTTTTTTTCGTTTGATTACACCTATCGCCCAGCTTTCCATTGTTATGCAGTGTTGAGTGGCTTCCAAGTTGAAAGTCCGGTCGGTTTCAAATTACTATGAAGTTTTTGCTGTATTTCACAAGTAGAAGAACTTGTGGTGCTGGTGGTTCTCTTGGATATAATCTTGGCTTGATCGTGAAGATTCCTTGTCATTCTTGTTAATATATCAGGGGTTGGGATGAAAGCTGAAGCTCCTGCACAGCGGGGGCTCCTCCAGCGAGGTGAGCGATCAATCTTACAAGTTTAGATTCCCAATTCGATATAACTTTGGAGATCTTTTCTAGTTTGCCCGACTGTGTGCCAGTTGCCAAGATGCCGGCAAGTGTAATCTGACATAGTCCCATAAGGAACTACATTATTGTTTGTTGTGTTAAATACCACGAGCCGGTTTAGGGTTTAGGGTCTACGGTTTAGGGTTTAGGGTTTAGGGCATACAAGGTCAACGTCGTTTTCTTCTCTTTGCAAAAGCGCTTGTCCAGGAAGCCTTGCAAGCTCCGGGGATTTTCAGTTGGATTGTTGGTTGAAGCTCTGGGGATTTGTGTGCCGCAGGAGTGGTTTGCTGGAAAGAAGATCTGCAACATGTTGAACTTCCACTCCTTCCTCCAAGAAGTGGAAGATCTCACACTGTTTTGAACTTCTGGATTCGATGGTGGTGGAGGTGGCAAGAACACAAGCTTGTCCATGGCAGGGAAAGGCTCAAACTATCCACATCTTGCTGGTTGGCTTGCCTGGAAGCAGCAAGTCTTCTGTTGAGCAA